GCATGTTTGTCTAGGAGCTTGGTGGGGTAAGAGCTCATGCTAGGGAGTATTAAGAGGGTATTTGTAGAGTATTTGGACATACATTATTTCGATCTTATCCTTACCCTCCAAAGGAGGGAGAAGGAATTGAGTTAGCAAGCTACAGACACGGTGCCCACATTCAGGTCGTCTGACTAGGAAGCATGCAGCAGCCTGGCTGTTCTGCTGCAGATATGAGGGAGGAGAATAGTTTCTACTGCAGTGGCAGAGTGAGGCACCAGGGACCGAGCCAGCTTTAAGGCTTCTTGATAGTTTGGGAACACAAGAATCCTGCTGTCACAGAGTGGGGGGCAGTCAGGGTTTTAAAGGTGCTAGAGTGGGCTGGAGTCCTCACGGTTTTGGTTGGAATGAAGGATTTAGATGTGAGGTTCCAAAGCCCCCTCTAGTGCTGGCCTTTCAGAGGGACATCTGCTTTCTCCTAGTTATCTCTTCATCTCTGTAGCCTGCAGGAGCAGGTGGGTGTCAGTGGGTCCTTATGGTCCAGGAGAACTGTGTCTAAGAAAGAGAAAGAGAAAGCTGAGGATCCTTCCGGCACAGGACAGAAGGAAACAGTTGGAACCCTTCCTTCACAGCCCAGTGCTCAGGAGGCCACCCCAGCCCTCTCAGGAGCCACACTGGAAAATAACAATTGGGCAAGCTGCAGTCACTCTGCCAGCTCCTTGGCACAGAACTGGGCAGGCCCCAGCCTCGGGCACTCAGTTCAACACTAGAGTGCAGGCAGGCAGAGGACACTGTGGCTGGCTTCTGGATAGCAGGATTTTAAGGGAAGTGGAAGCCCCCAGGGATAGTATTAAACCTTCAACCCTCAGTGGTAAGAGAGGCTGTCACCTCTGGCTGATAGTCAGTCTTGTTTCCGGTGAGTCACTCCAAATGTGTGTGTCTTCTGTGTCTGCAGACCTGGAAAGGGGTGGAGACTGTACCGCTTGGCATTGCTTTGCTTAGAAGGGCACATCATGACGTAGAGCCCTTATGGCACATCGTGACGTAGAGCCCTTATGGCACATCCTGACGTAATGCCCTTACTTCCTTGCTTCTGTGCTATCATCACTTGATCCAAAACATGAGCGGCACAGGGCCAGTGAGATGACTCAGTGGGTAAAGAAAGGCACCTGCTGTCATGCCTGACAATGATCCCCAAGACCCACTCAGTGGAAGGAGAGAGCTGGTTCCCCCAAGTTGTTCCCTAATCTCCACAGGAGCATTGTGGCACACACACACACACACACACACACACACACACACACACACTAAACGTGATAAAAAAAATTAAAAAATATTTGGAGCAGGGGCTGGAGGGATGGATCAGCAGATAAGAGTGCTGGTTGCTCTTGCAGAGGACCCGGGTTCAATTCCCAGCACCTACATTTTAGCTCACAACCATCTGTAACTCTATTTCCAGGGTTTCGGATGCCCCCTTCTCACCCCCTTGGTTGCCAGGTATACATACACAGTGCACATACATGCAGACAAATCATTCAAACACATAAAATAAAATAAAATAAAATAAAATAAGTAAATCTTTTAAAACAACAAAAAAAAATGATAAACAGGGCCTGTAGAGATGGTTCAGTGGTTAAGAGCACGGGTTGCTCTTTCAGAGGATTGGAGTTCAATTCCCAGTACCCACATGGCAGCTCGCAACCATCTGTAACTCCAGTTCCAGGGGATCCAGCACCCTCACACAGATATACATGCAGGCAAAACACCAATGTACCTAAAATAAAGATAAATAAATCATGTTTTTAAAAAGATAAACAAATATGAGCATGTAGAGGCAGGAAGTTTTATCTTGTTCCCAGCACAGAGAACAGTGCCCCAAGCAGAAAGCTTCTGATGAATGCCTGTTGAGAACTGCATCCATTCAAGTGTGCCAGTGAGTGAATGAGAGGGAGTAGGAAGTACTAGCAGATGCTCACCAAACACCAGGCTTTCTTCCCTGAGAATCAGTCCCGATTAGTTGAGCATTGCTGAGCTTGTCCTTGAGACTGACCTATGATATGACTAAAAGGGGAACTGGGGGCCAAGGAAGCCAGAGATGCTTACAGCTGAGCAGAACAGGACCAGGAGAAGTGGGCCCGGTGTGGAAAGGATTCTTGAGACCCTCTTGGGTGGTTTATCATCTGACTCTTTGGGGGAGTGGAGACATGTTAGGAAGCACAGGCCAGTGCTGTTAGCTTCTGTGTGGCCTTGGGAAGGCTTCAAAACCATTTTCAACCTCATTTCAACCTCATAGTGGGCTGTCCTTACACTGCCTTAACCCTTAGGGCTGTTACAGTCCAACAGTGAGAAACCAGGAAGGTCAAGGCGGGCACAAGTCAGCTGTACTTAGCCATTTGCTTGAAACTCTTAAAAGAGATCCTTTGTTATTTCCTTCCTTCCTTCCTTCCTTCTTTCCTTTCCTTTCCCTTTCTTTCTTTCTTTCTTTCTTTCTTTCTTTCTTTCTTTCTTTCTTCTCTCTCTCTCTCTCTCTCTCTCTCTCTCTCTCTCTCTCTCTCTCTTTCTTTCTTTCTTCAAGACAGGATTTCTCTGTGTAGCCCTGGCTGTCCTGGAACTCACTCTGTAGACCAGGCTGGCCTTCAGAGATCCACCTGGCTTTGCCTCCCAAGAGCTGGAATTAAAGATGTGCACCGCCACCGCCCGGCTTCTGTTATTATTTTTATCACTACTCAGAATTTCCTCTCTCTGTTAGAGGAGAAATGAGGCTAGAGTTTGCAAACTCTGGGCTAATCTTAGATCTTAAAGATTAAGCCCCTGAGCTAAAGACACACACACACACACACACACACACACACACACACACACACACACCCCACCTTGGAGGTGGAGAAACCTCCTCTTAGAATCCTAGGGGCAGGTGGGCCTCAGGGGAGGGGTCCACATATAGTCATGGGCCACTTCTCATACCCTGTCCTTCTTCCCTCCAGGTACAAGACAGTGGTGACTCAGCGCCGGGCAGCAGTGGCCATCGCTGGCTGCTGGATCCTCTCCCTGGTTGTAGGCCTGACACCCATGTTCGGCTGGAACAACCTGAGTGTGGTGGAACAAGACTGGGCAGCTAATGGCAGCGTGGGGGAGCCCGTGATCAAGTGTGAGTTCGAGAAGGTTATCAGCATGGAGTACATGGTCTACTTCAACTTCTTCGTCTGGGTGCTGCCGCCGCTGCTCCTCATGGTCCTCATCTACCTGGAGGTCTTCTACCTGATCCGTAAGCAGCTCAACAAAAAGGTGTCGGCCTCCTCTGGCGACCCACAGAAGTACTACGGGAAGGAGCTGAAGATTGCCAAGTCACTGGCCCTCATCCTCTTCCTCTTCGCCCTCAGCTGGCTGCCGCTGCACATCCTGAACTGCATCACCCTCTTCTGCCCGACCTGCCAGAAACCCAGCATCCTCATCTACATCGCCATCTTCCTCACGCACGGCAACTCAGCCATGAACCCCATTGTCTATGCCTTCCGCATCCACAAGTTTCGGGTCACCTTTCTGAAGATTTGGAATGACCATTTCCGATGCCAGCCCAAGCCTGCCATTGACGACGACCTCCCAGAGGACAAAGCTGATGACTAGACTCCGCCCTGCTCCCTCCAGCCCACATCCAGTGACTCTCTGCTCATCCCTCGGATCCCAACCGCGCCACTGCTCTTCCTCAGTTTCCCCAGCTGGGCTGTGGGTTGTGGGCACCAGGGAGGCTCTGAAGAGATGCCGTAGAGCAGAGCCCCTTCTCCAAGGAGCCAGTTGCCCTGTACCTTGGGGAGCTGGAGGAGGCTTGGAGGTGGGTCAGGCTATGGCAGGGAACTGGGTGCCCTAAGGTGAGAGGAGTGTGTTGAGGGCCCCATATCCGGCTGTTCTACAGTCAAACAGGGGAGCCTGCTGTTAGGTGTTGGTGGCCCAAGGGACCAACTTCAAGGAGAGGATAAGACCCCCTCAGAGGATGGATAGAGAGAAGTGGGTATGCCCTGGCTTTTCTTTCTCTCCCGTTCTGTAGGAAAGATAGCAAAGTTCAGGAAAGGAGACCTCATCCCCACCTCCAAGGATTTTGTGTTTCTGGCCATACAGGTACTGTGATGCCTGCAATCCTTACCCCGACAAGCCTGGGGTTATACTTGGGCAAGGCAGAAAGACCGGGACCAAGGATCGTTTCTCACCTTTTCTTTATTCACAACCCTGGACTGCCTGCCAGTGGGCCTCTAAGCACAGGGGAATAAGCATGGTCCAGTAGGTGCTGGCCTCACATAGCCAGCAGGGGGCAGCACTGAGCCCTTTTGCCCTGAACTTCCTGGGCGTTCCCAACGTAACTTTCTGTCTTCTGGGCCACCGAATGTCACCAACTCTCAGAAAGAGATAGGCCTGGACGCTCCTGGATGACACTATCCCTGCTTCTGGGCCCCAGGAGAAGAGAGCCCCAGAAAGGACAGCCCTTGGGAGCACTCTGCTTGAGTGGGAAGGAGGAGGAAGTCATCCAAGAGGGTCCCAGGCGACTATAGGCACTCCTGGTATGGAGTACGGTAGGCCAGACCAGACCAGAGGAGACTGCTCTCTTGAGAGTGTGATCGATTGCCTTGCCAGCGTTGAAATACCCAAAATGCTCCTGGGGGCGGGGGATTAAGCTCAATTTTTAGGGGCTTCAGAAGCTGTGTTATGAACAGAGCGTAGGCCTTTGTGGGTCTCAGTTAGGACCAATCCATACCCCACTGAGCCTGGATTTCTTCCTTGTGTGGACAGCAGGCAGGGGAGGGTGACAGGTTCTGAGTGTGAATATTGACTCCAAGTCTTGATTCCAGGCTCTTCCCTCAGTTGGAGGTAGGGCGTCCCTGGCTCTCAAGGAGGTCCCTATGTCTAATAAAAGACTGTGAACCCTTGTGGAGAGTGCGGTGCTGGCACTACCCCCACACTGGCAGAGGGCAACTAGACCACCTCAGCAGGGACGATTTGATGAGGGGAAACGCTGGGAGAGGGGTGTGGAGGCAGATGGGAGAAGGAAGGTTCCAGAGATGGTGTATCTGTTGCTATAGTTACACATTTAGGGTAGCACATGGTGAATCAGAAAGCAAGATCCAGAACATTCACATGTCTAAAAAATGTCCTGTGCTATCATGAGACCCTTCCGGCTGGCACCTTCCTCGTGGTGACAGTGTCTGCTATGTATAGCAACATAGTATCTTCCCATTCACCGTGACACTCACTACCACAGAAGCCCCATGCTGGAACACCACACACATTTATTTGACTGCTTCTCACCCAGTGTACAGCTCTGCAGGGGGGGACCAGTCACTGCACCTCTGGGGCACTCTTGTACCCATGAGGCCTGACCTGAGGCCTGGCAAGCCCACTCCTGGGTCTGGACTCCAGCCTCTGGCGGAGGGAGGCCTGCAGGTACCAGAGGCCTCTCCATTAGCTGTTCCTATGGTATCTTGGTCTTGGGTATCCGTGGAGAGACATGATGGGCCTGGAGGCCCGATCCTCAGGTCTGCAGGACCTGGCAGAGAATGTCCTTCTGAGCCCTGGTACGTGACCAAGCTGCCAGAAGAGAAGTTGGGGAGTCAGGTAGAGAGCCGCCTCCACCTTTCTCTGTCCTTCCTCAGGCTCAGTTCTCAGTGCTGAACTCTGCCTAGTGTAGTTCTAGAGACTTCTAGTTCATCCAGAGCCTCGGAGCCACCAAATGAAGAAGGTAGGGCAGGGCTGGGTCCCCACTTTTCTGAGGAGGAAAAAGGTGCAAACAGAATACCTCTGTTTACAGTCACTCAAAGCCAAGACTAGACCCTGTCCTGTGACCACCCACTGGACCCTTCCCTTCCAGACCTCACCAGCATGGCCCAGCCCTACACGGTCTTTACCAAACTGAACGTGCATGCTAGTTGTCTTTAGCTGCAAAATTGCGCCCACATCTGTCTACTGCCTTCCCTCCCTAGCCCTTCTCCAGTGACATTTTGGGCCTAGGAGGTAGGTTCTCTCTTCTCAGTCTCCTCTTTGACCTTGCTCTCACTGGAGGTAGCTGAAGGGGTGGGTCCATCTGCTCACCTGTCTCCTTGTCCCAAGTCTCTGCCCATATTGCTTCTCAGTGTGTGGCGGAGGCTGAAAGAGATCCTGCAGGTTAGAGCTTGGGGGGAGACAGGAGGGAACTGACAGGTTCGAGGTCAATGATCTCCAGTGCCCCAGTCCCCAGCTAGAACATCTTCCCACTTGGAAAGTCACACAAACTGTCCCTACACCTTGTCTCCTTCCTGGTCCAGTTTTCACTCTAAGCTCCAAAGAAGGAATCTACCTGTCCCCTCATGGCCAGGCACGAAGGGAAACCTTTAGACTCCCACCTTTGACCTCCAGTCGGCAATCCACAGAGGCCTCCCCTAGCACGTTGATGGCCTTGCAAGTGTAGACCCCAGAATCAAAGGGGCTGGGCTTCCGGATCTCCAGTGTGCAGACCCCTTGCTCAGAAACTGCGCGGTACTTGGGATCACCTTGGATGTCCATCTTGTTTTTCATCCAGATGATCTTGGGCTGGAGGCAAGGTCAGATGAAGGATAATGAAGTGAAAGCATGGGCTGGAACCAGCTCTCAAGAGACAGTTTCAGCCCTTGCTGCCTCTGCCCGCCCCACCAGCCCAGGGCCCCTCACCTTGGGTGATGCTCGGACGCTGCAGAATAGCTGCGTGCTATAGCCAGGAGTGGAGGTGTGGTCAGCCAGGGGCTGGGTGAACGAGGGGGCTTCCGAGAAGTCTCGTTCAACAAACCCCTTAGGTTTGGCAGTAATATCTGGGGAGAATTTGAGGTTATAGGAATGGAGGGGGGCTTCAGAAGACTGGCCTCAACCCCCAAGCTTTGGGAAGCTCAGCCTCGTCAGCAACATGTGAAAACTGTGAGGCACCAGAGAAAGCCTCGCTGAGCGGAGTTGAGGCAGGTCAGAAGGCGAACAGCGAGGAATGGGCGGGAAAGCCAGAGCCACAGGGGCGTGAGGCAAGCTGAACATCGCTTTCCATTTCTGTCTATCTCTGAGACCTGAGTGGCTTTCCTTTCTTCTAAACACAAAACTCTGATGGCCGTGCTGCTTGGGCTTCCAGGGTGAGCGAGGTGGCTCAGTGGGTAGGGGTGCTTGCCACCCTGCGTTCAATCCCTGGGACCCAGAAGGTAGAAGGAGAGAACGGACGAGTTGTCTTTGGAGTCTACATGCGCGTGCACGCGTGCATGGGAACACACACTCACACACAAATAAATGTAATTAAAATGAACAATAATTAAGCGTGTGGCTTCCAGGGTCGCTGTAATGTGCATGTTGTGGGGAGGATCTGGGACAGGCAGGGGTCAAGGTGGAGTCCTGCCTGAAGTTTCACATTTGACCCCACTGACCAGATGCCTGATGGAGACAGTAAATACCACAGCCAGTCTTTGGATGGGGAGGTGTCTGTCTTTACAGGTTGCCAGTGTACCTATCAGGTCTACGTCACCCTTCAGAGTGTGCACCTGGGGACACGGTGCAAGAGACCCAGTGACTTCTGTGATGTGAGCAGCCGCAGTCGTCTTTAGGAGTACACAGCCTCCTGAGGGGCACTGCTCATTTGCATGGCTACACTCTGGTGTTTGCTAAAATCTGTCAGTCACACCGGCTATTTACAGTCACTCCACGTCAGTGTGTGTACGCACTTGCACATACACTCACGCAGAACTGTTGAGTGTGTGTGGTGGTGGGGAGGAGGGGGGAGGCAGCAAATGTTCCAAGGAGCAGTGACTGAGGAGATGCCTAGAGGGATGTGGGGACACGGAAGAAGAAGTAGTGACAGATGTTGGTAATACCACTCCTGATTTCCGTGTCCTGCCCGGGCTCGAAACCGCTTACCTGCCTTCTGGATGTGAGCCAGCTCCTTGGTGGTGGTGGCCGAATCACTGAGGCCACACAGGTTTTCTGAGAAGACCCGGAAGGAGTAAGAGTTGCCAATGATGAGGTCTGAGATGGTGCAGGTGGTGGGGTGGTAGCGCTCCAGCACTGTGAACCATTGCTGCAGGGACCAGGACTGGGTTACCCTCAGCCCTTACCCAGTTCTTCTCTCCCCTGCTTACCCTAATCCTCCTCGGAGGGGCTCATTCCATGCCCCAGCTTTGGGAGGCTGAACCATTCAGCATGGGACCTGAAGGACTCGGAAGTGGGAGAAGGACTTCCTGGGTCCTCTTATGAGCCCAAGAGCCTCCCTCCTGTAAGTGTGGCTGGCAGACAGGCAGCCTCATTACCTGGGCACTATTTAGCCATGTGGGTTCCCAGCCCCCAGCCCCAACCGCCTGCATCAGGGTCTACATTTAGCGGCTTCCCAGGTGGTTTATATACATGATAAGATCATTCCTTAGCAGCCCAGTGCAATGCACCCTGAAGACTGAGGTATAGAGAGGGCAGAGGCTTGCCCGGGACCATATAAGGAGTCAGTTAGCAGGAGCTGGTCTAGTCTTCATCTTGAGCCTCTTAGTGGGATAGACCTTCTTGGCCTGGACCACTTCTCTCCCATCCCTGTTATGCCCCAGCCAGCCTCACCCCTGTCTTCTTGTCAGCCTTCTGCACTGTGTAGCCCAGGAGCTCTGTGTTGCCTGTGTCCTGGGGTGGAGTCCACTCGAGAGCCGCATTGCAACCCCAGACATCCAGGAGCCTGATGCTGCTTGGGGGCCCGGGCTTCTCTGCAGGACCAGATGATGAAGGGAAGTGAGGGGAAGCAAGCCTGCTACAAAGTCTCCACACTCAAGAGTTGGCACTTGCCGCGATACCCTAGCCTTCCCTCACCCACCATCAGCCCTGGGATGTGGGGGACAAGGGTTTTGAGACAGCCCTTCCCCCTCTGCCCTTGTACCAATCACTAGGATGTCAATGCTGGCCTTGGCTTCCAAGCCTTCCAGATGGACAGTGAGCTCATAGCGGCCTGAGTCTGAGCGCTGAGCTGAGCGAATAAAGAGGATGGAGTCCTGGTCTCCGCTGCGCACATTTACCCTCTGGCTGTCCAAGGCATGGCCGTTGTGGGTCCAAGAGGCCTGCGGCTTGGGCTTCCCCTGACAAAGATGGGTTTGGTGTAAGTGCAGATTGGTATAAGCGCCCCACCCTAGCTGTGCCTGGGAAACCTGTCCCGCTGATCCACGGTTGCAGCCCAGAGCCACATCTCCTAGTGTGGGGCCTGCCCTGGCGGCTGCCCATCTGTCCACTCACAACTGAATTAGATGCACAACTGGGAAGGCAGCCATCTGTATGGGTCCCAGGCAGACTCCAGTGAGAATCCTGACATTCGCAGGTCCCACTCCTGACGCATCAGAGGCCGTTATCTGCGAGGCATGCTTACCTGGAAGGGGATTTGCAGGTTGATGGACTCTCCTGCCCGGCGGATATAAGTCTGCCGAAGGTGTCGGGGAACACGGATCTTGGGGGCTTCTGCGTGAAAACAAGTGTCTGGGCTTAGGCCAACTGAGTGAGGGTGTCTGAGGCAGAAGGGGAAAGCGAGTGTGGGTTCCCGGCTAGGCAGGACAGGTCCTACTTAGTATGCTCCCACCAGCTTGGGTTGCCTCCTCGCTGGGAGGGCAAAGCCTTCAACGCTGAGATTGAGGGACCCAAATCCCTTTAGGCCTTTGGGTTGCGGAGAACTGAGAGGCTCCAGAGAGGTCAGGGACTCTACAGTGTGAACTGGTCGGTATCTCCGGCACTCCCTTGGCGCCTCAACCTTGCCAGGCTGGGATTTACCCCGAGGCCCAGGCATTCTCAAGCTCCAGATGGGCCTGGCTGGCTCGCTGTCTCCCCCTGGAGGGAGGCAGGTTCTGCACCTGTCGGCCAATGTGCCTAGAGAGGGAACGAGTGTGCGGGCTTCCTGCCGATACACAGCATATGCACCCAGGGTCCCAGGACTTTTCCCCGAGAATGTGGAACCTTGTTGGCTCAAGTCTCTGCCTCTAGGGCTGCTGGGAGGCTCAGGCTCTTCGCACAGAAGCTAGAGCAGGTACCCAAGCTTCTGCTCAGAGTCATGGTGGTAAGTCCTCCCTGAAGTCTTAGTTCAGCCTCCTACTCTGGTAGGAATCACTTTCCTGACTATGGCCTAGTCAGGTGCCATTGGACATTCCAAGAGAAACTGCAGCAACTGCCATTCCTGTCCCTGGGGGACGGTGTGGGGACTGAGCCTGAGCCTCCGAAGCCGTAAACAGGTGGTAGCAGCTGGTCAGTGGCATGTAGGAGGACATAAGAAGGAACACTGTGTCTCCAAGGATTAGCTGAGCAGGCACTTGGCTTGGGAGCATCATGGTTTGGAATGCTCCAGGGACCTCTCCAGGAGGTCAGGCATGCCTGGCAGCTCCAGGTGGCCAAGAGGAGGGGACAGCTGAGCAGCTGAGGATCCTGGACAAGGCCCCCACCCTGCCCTGCCCAGCCCATGAGAAGTCCGGCTGTCCCAGCTTGTTCATAGCCTCCTCCCCACTTTCTCTCCAGGAAATCCCCTTCTCTCCTGCCAGAGGAATTTTAATGGAGAGGTGGGTGCTGAGTCTGCTTTCTCCTTCAACACCAAGGTCTCAGAGGCATTTCAAAGTCTGAGCGTCTTGGGGCCCTGGGGGAAGATCTGGGACTCTGCCAACCAGAAGGACTTCCTAGCACCTCCAGGCTGGAATCAGCACAGGCATCCTGCTGCTGCTCACAAGGTGGTGGGAGGTGTGCTATCTCACCCAGATAGTGTGGCTTTTGAAAACCACCAGAGCAGACATTGAGCAGCTTGGTGGCTATGAACAATCCTGTGTGGGCATCAGAATCTGAGACTGTTGAAAGACTGGGTCGCTCTGTGGGAGTCTCTGGGCCCTTTGGGATCTGCCTGGTTTGAATAAGCTATGGCAGTCTGGGGTCTGGTTTTCCATGTCTTTAGACCTTAAAGCCGTGTATTTCCTTGAATCCAGATCTGAGCCCTCCTATGGCTGAGATCCCTCTCTTCCCAGATGCCTCGTCTGGAAAGGCAGGCTCTATCTCCAGCCTCTGTCCATCCCTCAAGGAACAAGAAGGAAGATGGAGAAGGTCTCAGACCACCTGCTTGCCCATGTCTCTCTTCCCCCCGGGGGCCCTGCACTGTCCCCAGAGACCTGAGATCAGACCAAATGACTCACTGTCATTAACAGTCTGAAACCTGAGCAGCTTTGGGAGGGGAGTCAGGGGACTAAGGCTAACGCACCCTGCAAATAGAAATATTAGCAACAGGGACAGCAGCTGGTCCTAGGTCCTCTCAGAGGCACTGCCCTTTGGGGATGGAAGAGCCTCACAGACCCTTTGCACAGCCTCCTCTTCCCGCTAGGGCCAGGGTACAACAGGGGGGACGGGGCCCTTCCCTGTGTTCCAGAACCTCGGGAGAGCCTGGAACCCAGGTTTGAGGAAACAGAAAGGCAACAACTCCCATGGCTTCAGAGATTAAGATTAGGAAAAAGTCAGAATGGATGGCTTCTAGCGCTGGGAGCCTGAGCGTCATCCCTGGGCAGCAAGGATCTGCTCCCTGATGGTGGTGGTGTGTGTGGTGAGGGAGGGGCTGGACCACTCAGGGAAGTGGCTTCTTGGACCTCCTTCTTGCTGCTGAAGAGCCTGAACCTTTCACAAGGCAAGACACGTTAGTATGTGGCTTGTGCATGTGAGTGTGACATGGGGGAAATGGCTGCCTGAGTCCCATTGACCATGGCCTCAGTTTCCCCATTATATCCAGTCTGTGAACAAGAGGCAAAGAGGGGCTTTACCAATGATCTCTTGGATGTGGACAGGCTGGTCCAGCACAGCTGCGGGGCCTGCCCCCGAGGGGCTCACTGCAGTCACACGCAGGAAGAACTTGTCTCCCAGAGCCAGGTTCCGAACCGTCTGCTGGGTCACCATCACGGGCCGGGGGTTCACAGGCACCCATTCTGAGGCTGAGGGCAGTGGGGGAACGTCTGGGTGTTAGTGGTGTGGCAGGGGCATCCTTCTCACACGGGGCTTCCCTTCTCAAGGGTGATGGACAGAAGCTGACCTCGCTCTTGGGCTGTAGTCTCTCTTGCCCCCTTCCCTGATTTTGCAGCATCAAATAGCACCAAAGACAGCTGATATTAGAGCGCTCTGGGAAGGTGGCCGGAGGTGGGGATGCAGAAGGCCAGAGAAGGTTGGGCACGTTCACCAAGTCACACAAAGTAAGGTAGGGGCAGAGACAGAAGCCAGGCTGAACGTGGCTGTCAAGGACTACTTTCCCTAGTGCTCCTTACTATCTCTTATTTAACTGTCCCCCTCCTCTGTATCACCCCCCCCCCCCCCCCCCCCCCGCTTTCTGCCTCCTGGGTTAACTCCCCCTGAAAAAGGTTTTCTGAGATTCAGTACTTCCTCCCTTTCCTTCCCCCACCCCCTTCTATTACTCAAAGTCTCCCTGGAACTGGAGGATGGGAGGTCTCCTGAGGTCATTGGCCCTCTCTTTTCCTTCAGAGGTTCCTATGGAGCAGCAGGTGGCAGCCAGGCAGTTAAGACCAGGGCTTACACCTTCTCCCTTTCTCTCCCCCTGAACTGACCTGTTGCAGGGACTGGGCTTGCCCCTGCTGTCCTGGCCCCAACCATCTGGGTGGAGGTAGGGCTGAGTCTGGTACTCACCTCCCTCTCGACAGAGCTCCAACACGTAGCCCTGAAGGCCCAGTTTCCCCAGCTTCTCGGGGGGCTCCCAGCTCACAGTCACAGAGCTGTGGCTTACATCCTCCAAGGTCAGCTGCAGTGGGGCACTGGGGACATCTGGGGGAGGGGGGACCAGGGTGAGATGAAGAGCCCCTCCCCGCATACCTGCCTCCCTTCTCCAGGTGCCCCCACGTCTAGTCACCTTCACTTGGAGGGTCAGGCTTAGTGGTTGCGGGTACAGCAGCAGCCTCAGGGCCTGCAGGGTCCAGGGCCTGAGATCCAGGCTTCTGTGGCTCTGGAGCCTGCTCTTGCCCCGGGGACTCTGATGCTGTGGCCTCTCCAGAAGGCTCCGTGGTTGGCACTTTGGCAGGCTCAGGCACTGTCTCCCCTGGACTAGAGACAGAAGCTTCAGAGGTGGCTTTTCCTGTCATTTCTGAGCTGGTTGTGGGGAGGGGGTCAAGCTGGAGTGTTTAAGGGTCAGCTGCAGGTCTGGGCCACCAGGGTGCCTGAGAGACCTAGGTCCAGGCTTATATAGACAGGGGCTGCCCCACCCCCAGCACACCATTCCCAGCTGTGGGGTCAGGTCAGGCAGGGGGACGGGGGGCAGGGAGCACCCAGGCCAGGAATAGCTCTGGGGAGGAACTGCAAGGGCCCCTTGAGGAGAATACTACCTCGACATCACCCGAGCTAGACTTCACAGCCAGGGTGCCAGTGCCCAGACTGGGGAGGGCATAGATAGGTGAACTGGGACATCGCTGGGCTTGGTAATGAGACTGGCCATCTGGAAAAGGAGATCAAGTTAGTTTCATGTGTCTGGTTTCCTCGGGGCTCCCCTTGGGCCCCAGTCTCCATGGAGTGGAGCCTGGAGTTAAGGATATGTGAACCAGCCATCCTTGTGAACATTCCCACTTTTACCTGTTCACTCTACCTTGGTACCCCGTTCTCTGGGGACTCACACTTGTACTGTGTGAAACTAAGGCCCCCACAGAGGAGAGGATTGAGATGCCCAAGGTGAGGCTGGCCAGAGGCAGGCGCTCCAGTGTGAATCCTAAGGAAAGGGACCATCTTGCTTAGTTCAACTGTGGCATCATGCCATAGGCTCTGTGAAAACAGCAGAGAGTGATTTTTCTCATGGCTCTGGAGTCTAAGACCATGGCCCCTGGCATCCAGTGAAGGGCTTTGTGCTGAGTCAGAATACAGAGGATGGGCAAGCCAGACAGAGAGAAATGGGCTAAACGCATGCTTTTTATCCAGTTCCCACTCTGGAGATAACTAACCCACTCCTTAATAATGACATTAACTAAGTTATGAGGGAAGTGTCCCACGGCCTAATCACATCTTTAAAGGCTCCACGTCTTAATACTGTTAGTGACAACTGAGGGGTTTTAGAGGGGACATTCACACCACAACAGGGACCGAGCAAGCCTGTTCCTGTTTCTGTAGCAAGGCTTGGAAACCTCCATTTTCACTAATTCCCAGGCCTACTGAGAACCTACCCTTGAAGATAAGACAAGCAGACTTGAATTTCCTAGCCTCTTCAAAAGGGGACGTAGGCACAGACGTTCCCAGTGTGGCAAATGGAGTAGGTTCAGCCGAATTCCTAGTCCCTGATTCATTTATTCAAGAAGCTGTTAAGATTGGTAATAATTTGAAATCCAGAAAATACCATGTGTCAGGAAGGAGGAGGAGCAGTCAGCAATTCTCACTGTGGGTGGGAGTGTGGATCAGAGCAGTGACTGAGAAAAAGGAGGCAGGGACTTGGTGGCAGCGACACTGTGCCTAGCCGGTGGCTCTGGGCATCCTCCTCTGGACTCCCAGGAGACACGGATGAGACGATCTGTGGAGGTATCACTTGTAACAGCACAAGGTATGTAGCTATGTAGTTCTAAAGCAGAAGCCAGGTGACGGTGAGACACCCCGGCTGACCTCACAGGCCAAAGGGCGAATCACAGAAACACGATGATCATTTTGTCCTTGGAATCCAAAGCCAGAGCCACATGAAGCCTGGATCTTCAAAGTGTATCCATAGGTCGTTAGCCCAATAAAAAGGAAGGTAAGGCCAAGGTAAGCCTAAAATGACAGCCTCTGGCCGAGGGCACACATGACTGTAGAGGCTGCAGAGTGTCACTGAGGTTTGTTTCCCCTTCAATATACAGAAGCTCTTTAGATTAGATGAGTATCTCTCACACACTCTTAAGCAGGCATGGTGTAGCCCACAGTTTAGGAATAAATGGACATGTAATTTATTTAGGGCTGTCGACAGCATTCTGCTTCTCCCTCTTGTTGGGGATGGGCACAGCAGTATGGCTGTCTCTCAGTCCCTACAGTCCTCTATGGAGTGTCAGTGGAGGGCCTGAGGAGCCTCTGGGTCCAGCTCTGCCTGGGCGTCCGTGTTCTCTGTGAGGTGACTCAGTGTTGTGCTGAGTAGGGAGACCCGATCTCCACGCTGGCTTCTGACACTGAAGCTATAAGTGAATGTGACTAACTCGGCTGGACCCAGAGTCAGCCCTGAGAACCTGTCCCTAACTGGGAGAAGGGGGGCCTCAGGAGACAGGGGGGGCTTCCTACAGGAGGCTTCAAAGACCTTGTGTGGTAAGGCGGACAGTGGGCAGGAGTCGGGGACTGCGTGGCCCACTAGGCAGCACAAAATGCCAGGTATCCTCTATCTCTAAGACCCTGGCCAAGCACCTTGCTTTTAGCAGAGTGGTAACCTTGGAAACAGCCGCATGTGCCCGGCTCCAGCTGGTTCAGATTTCAGGGCAACAGATTGCTATTGGCTTCTCTACGCCTCAATGCAGAGTCCCCGACATCCAGCCAGATAATGATTATCCCAAGTCGGATAATCCAAACATCAAAGAACCCACAGATAGAATCCCAGTCGGTTTAGAATACAGCCTATCCAGGTTCCCTGAATAAAGTCATGTCCGGGCTCCTGGAAGTTCCCAAGACCCTGGTGAGAGCGTCCCCTCCCCGCAAAGGCTGGAAAACTGGCTTGTCTTCGGAACCAATGTCTTCCATTCTCCTCACCTGCTGTCTCAGGCCAGCTTGGGCAAGGAAGCTTTGATCTCTTCAAGAGCTTGGGAGTAGTGTGAAGGGGGAGTGAGCTCAAGGACAGAGCTGGGGACAAGGACACTGGACTGCTGACAGCTTTCAGTCCAGCACTTGGGTGGACTGCCTTTAAGATAATGAACGGTGGGACACTTAGGAGTATGAGGCTGGAAGGCCAACTCTCAAGGGTCCGGAGAGACCCCCCCAGTCCTGCACGGCAGGGAGGGGGCCTGAAACGGCACTGCCTTTCTTTCAGGCCTTAGTGTTCTGGGTCCCTAAGCTTTCTAACTGCATCCTGTGGTTGTCCCTCACCACCTTTAGAGGGTCAGAAGAAAGGTTGGGCAACAGTCTCTTTCCATAGGAGCTTACTTTGGGGAGTCAGCAAGACCATGGCTTGAGTGTCTGGATTGCTGTCACCCACGCTTAGGTAAAGCCGACCGTTTCCACGCAGTCTGAGGACACCACCTCCCACTGAGGCTCCTGAGGGCCCAGAGGGCCCAGCACAGGGCATCAAGACCTCACTGTCCACTCTGATTCCCAAGTCTCAGAGAGAGGAATCCGGAAAAGATGGGGGAGGTGGGTACCATGGTCCCATGGACCCATAGAGACTGGACCAAAGCGAGACAGAGACACTGTTAAGCTCTTGTGCTTTATTGGGCAGCTGCGGAATTAGGAAAGGGAAGTGGGATAGAGACACGATTATGTTCGTAAGAGAAGGTTTCAAGTCAGGCTTTGCAGAGGGTATAATTAGTATGGCCACGGCATCTTGTAAGATGCTTGCCTGCTTGATGGTATAACTTGCCAAAATGGTGTCCTTGGGTCAGGAGAGCTGAAGGAAAGGGAGTTGAAGAAACTCCCTTGTGCTGGGCTTAGAGTCTGAGAATTTCCATTCCTCAGCAGAGATGTACTGAACCTGACCTCACACTTCGACTCTCTCGATCAACCCCACTGTCCTGCCAGGCTCTCTGTTCACCAGGGCTGAGCCCAAATCTCAGTGCTGTGGCCCCTGCAAGGGAGGGAACCTGAGGCCCAGCTGGGGGACATAGCAGTGCAAGTGGCCAGAGGGCGTGGGTCACGTGGGAGAGGAAGCGCTAAGCCATAGCAAGTGCCTCCTTGATGGCATTGGTGAGCGGGAAGCGTAGGTTCTGCCCACAGAAGGAGCCCCGGAAGTCATCCAAATCCAGCGCCCACACCATGGCTCCTGCCAGCTGCTTGCTTTTCAGGTACTGCACCTGGTGGAGGAGGTCCAGAGCAGGTAGGGTTGGTTCTCTGGGTGAGGTGTCGGGGAACTGGGCTCTGTGGCCTATCCCCAAAGGACCCATACACACCCAAGTTCAGCCCTAGTGCAGGAGAGCAAGTCTAGCTGTTTGGAACGCCCCTTCCCCATCCCCCCCACACCTTCTTTGTCCTGGGATGTAGCTTCCAGGGAAACCTACCTTGTTTTTGACACTCTCCTGGTCATCGTACCCCACCCACTGGTTGCCCTTGGTAGCATAGGGAACCTGCTGGCCAAGGATTCTTTGTATTGCAGCTCCTTTGAGGAAATCACAGATCTGAGTAGAGAACAGGGTGGGGGTGGTGTGGGAGGCTTGTCAGGTCACCAGAAGCCATCCTTCGGTCTGTAGCCTCGCTCTCCTGAGGCCATGGGCTGCAGGCTTCATGCAAATTTATGAAAAACAGATGCAAATGTCCCAGAGTTGAGCTGCTATAGCCTGAGGGCTTTGGAGATCTGACTGCCTCCTCCATCTTAAACAGGGGTGTGAGGAATGTGAGCTGGTACCCAGGGCTGGCCTCAGACCACTTGGAGCATCAGAGGCCCACACCCACAGAGAATCTTGACCATTGCTTTTCCTGAAGACCCAGGTCTGAGGCCAAGAGGAATATTCTAGGAGCTTGGTGCCTGCTGGAGGCTTTCAGGAATAAAAGACTTAAACTCCCCTGTTGTCGTCCTAAGGAATGCTAGGGCAAACAAGCATGTTTTTATTCCCAAGGGAGAAAGTGTGTGTGGTGAGGGAGGCCCCTCTTCCCTGGGGCAGCCTGCGAAGCAACATCATTACCTACCTCATAGTAGGCAAGGGTCCCTTCCTCCTTGGTGAACCGGCCTGGTAATCCTGGCCCCGAGATTGGCGCTCCCACCCGCGTCTCAGAAGATGCCAGCGTGAAGCTCTTTCCAAAGGTTGGGATTCCCATCACTAGCTTGCTGGCCGGGGCTCCCAGCCTCAGCATGTACCCCACAGCATAGTCCTGGGGGTAAGGCACAGATAGCAGGAACGGTTAGCTGGGCTGGGTGGTGTGCGGATGGGGCTGCACAATTAATATTGCTGCCTTGCCGGGCGCGGTGACAGTTACAAGGTGCAACTGGGAATCCCCATCCCTCTGGGAGCCGATAACGCCGGTTTGAAAAAATGACTTTTAAAGGTTTGTTCTTGAAAAGCTCCTTGTAGGCATAAGAAGGGATTATTAATGTGTGACAGGCACAGAAGTTGGCTGGTAGCTCGGGTTACGCAGCGAGTAAATGACAGGCTGAGACCCGGACCTCTAAGTCCCCAACCTCTCTCCCCTCTGCCCCCTCTTGCCTTCACTCAGCCTGCCCAGCAAGACTTTCCTCAGTTTCCCGGACTGTGAAATGGCTTTCATAACCTATCTTGCAAGGAAAGTACTGAAGAAAGAGAAGGGTGGCTGTATGGGCACCAGCAGGTGGCAGGGCTTTGCGACTCCCTCCCATATACATTCCTTCCCAGAACCCACCACATTGCTGAATCTGTCAGAACCAGTGTCCTTTTGGCCTCGGAAGAGGGGGCTGTGATGTCCTGCGGTTTGGCGCCAGACTCCGTGGAAATCGTAGGTCATGAGACTAATGAAATCCAGGTGTCTGAGAAAAAGGAGTTGGAGGTGAGGTGGGAAGTTAGAAATGTTCTTGACTTCACAGCCAAGGGCCAGCAGGCTGTGGGGAGCAGGCATCTGAGAAACAGGGCATTGACCCAAAGCCAGTAGCTTCAGAGACTGCCGTGCCAACTGCTAGCCCACTTCTCCAGAACCACTCCCATGTGTGGGCTCTGGGCACACACGCACGCACGCACATACACACACACACACACACATGCGCACAGGCACACATGCATGCACATGCATGCACAAGCATACACATAGGAACTGTTCCCAGCTTCACCTCAGCCTCTACTCTTGGCATGCTTGTTTTGGCAAAAGCCGGTTAAAAGTGCCATGGACAGCCTAGTGTGGAAGGAGCAGCATCAAAGGCTGCCTCAGCCTGCCTTCACTTATGGGGAGGGAGTGCTCCATAGCCCTACGGAGAAGGGCTGTAGGCGGAAGGCAGTAGGTGAGAACAGACAGGCACACCACCTCTTTCCCACGGGATGTTTAAAACATGGGACTAACTACATCCCTATATATATAACTATATAAAGGAGATTGAGATCCTTGCTCCTTCCTCCTGGGTTTCCCGTGACTTGCCTGTGCCCTTGGGAGAGATGCTGCATGGCTGACGGCTGTTGAAACTCACATGTAAGGAGGAAGGGCTAGATGACAGGAAAGGGAGCGGCCTCCTCTGCACTCTGACACACAGTGGGTTTTTTTTTTTTTTTTGGTTTTTCGAGACAGGGTTTCTCTGTGTAGCTTTGCGCCTTTTCCTGGAACTCACTTGGTAGCCCAGGCTGGCCTCGAACTCACAGAGATCCGCCTGGCTCTGCCTCCCGAGTGCTGGGATTAAAGGCGTGCGCCACCACGGCCCGGCTTTTTTTTTTTTTTTTTTTTTTTCTTGCTGTTGGTTGTCTCTCCCGGATCTGGCACTCTGCTGAACTCAGCGAGGAGAGAGCGCCCTGGAGTGTCTGCCACACACTGTAGAACTCTTTCTACTACCTCTTTCTAAATTCATTCGCAGCCACTCTCTCTCTTGGCCAACAACATCCCAAGTGAAAAAGGAAGAATAGGGCTCATTGTGACCCATTTAACAATTGGGAAACTGAGTCATGGGGAGGGGAGAGACTTGCCAACATTCATATATCAATGTTTTGGAACTCCCGAGTCTTCACAGGATGCTAGGGCAGGGTGGGAAAAAGAGTGTTGCCTGTAGAGGTTCCTGAGGTACTGCTAGGGCAGAAGACTCACTGGGATATCTGGGCGATGTCGTAGCCACTGTCCAGGGCCACCTTCCCTGCTGACACAGCTGCGCTGAGCAGGAGTTTCTCTGTCCCTGGTTGGACTTCCTTTGTGAATTCGGCCTTTAGTTCCTGGGTGGGAGGCAAGCAGAGAAGCAAAAGGGGTCAGGTGCCCGGGAGAGGCTGATGAGGGGAGACCAAGGTCCCGAGTATCTTGCTGACCTTCCCCACCTGCTGTGATCAGGCAGAGTGAGTGGTCTGCCACAGCCCCATCCTCAGGACACCCCGTGCTTTTTGCTAAAATATGATTTGAGAGCTGGGGAAATAGCTTAGTCTGTAAAGTATGAGGAGCCGAGTTTGACCCCCAGAACCCACATGAAAAGAATAAAAAACTAGGCGTAGTGGTGCTTGCTTGTAACCCCCATACTGGGGAAGTGGAGTCAGGCAGACCCCTGGGGTTCACTGGCCAGCCAGCCGACTCTATTTGGTAGTCCCAGGCCAAGGAGAACCCTTATCTCAGAAGAACAAAACATGGTGGATAGTGCTTGATGACACCTGAGTTTGGCCTCCACACATATTTTACATACATGTGAATGCACCCCTACACATGCACATTCACCTACACACACACACACACACACACACACACACACACACACACACACACACACACATACACAAATATGGTTCGGACCAATATCATCCTCAAAACCTATGTACACCCATCAGCACTTAATGGCTCCCTGTCCTGGAGGTGCCACCATATGACCTTGGAAGACATGTGCCTCGCAGTCTGCATTTTGTTTTACATGAAATTACAAGGTTAAAGGGATTCACCATGGTACTGCAGATGATTTGTTTACACCATCTCTCAGCCTCGGAACACTGGAGATATTTGGCCCTCAGATTGAGCTGTGTACAGGTGCATGTCGGGTAGCTGGGGGCATCAGTTTGGGATTGAACATTAGACAACGGATACCTCACTAGGTGGTCGATAGGTAGAGTGGCTCCCTGCTCAGCTATGGGCTTTGGCCTCTTAGGACTCCGCCCCCACTCCCCACGGTGGTTCTAACATGTCTGTCTTCCTTGCTGAAGCCCTTCTGCTCATCCCTGGGAAGTTCTTGGGTGAAGAGAGCTTCACTAGCCCACATGCTGATGCTCTCCACTCCTCTGCCCTATGCCAAGCACCTTGATCAGGGTGGTGAGATGTTGCTTGTCTCTTGGGCCAGGGTAAAGCCAGGCGAGATCCAGCCCATCAAAGCCATGGGCCCGCAGAAATGGGGCAACCGATTGGACGAAAGTCCTGCGTCTCTGAGAGTTGGAGGCAATCCTGGAAAATCTAGAACAAAACCACCACAGAATGAGCTTGGCACTCATATGCCGGGGACCCTGTCCCTATAGTGGGATTTCCAGGGCTTGGGAGCAGCGGACCTGAAGTGTCAGATCTAGGAGAGCCTTCTGGGGACAGCACCCAATTTGGGAACTTAGAACGGTAGGTATGTGCTTAGGGGCCAGACATTCCTAGTGTCCCAGACTGGCCTGCCATTTTGAGCAGGTTGCAACCTGAGTCACATGACCCTGCCTGTAAAATGGGGTAGTAACTGTAACACCTGGTGCTGTGGTGGACATAATAACAGGGAAGGGTCCTGGTGGTCTTCCAGCCCCCTCACTGCCCTGGTTCTGATCTGATGACTCCAAGGCCCCTTTAACAGTCTCAACCCTCTCCATCCCCATTGCTTCCTTCCCGCCCCTCTCAGCCTTCGTGGCCGTAACTTGGAAGTTGTTTTCATGCCTGAGATGTAGTAAAAGGAGTTTTGCAAGAGCTAGGTGTTGGGATTCTGCTGCACTCCAGCTGCATGACTGTAAGGAGTATTGCGTCTTGCGTCATCAATGCGCGCTGGTGATTGCGTGCTACTCGAGCTGTGTGGTAATCTGCGCATGTGTGGTGTAGCTCCCTAAGCCTGCCTGTGCACGTGCATGTGCACAAGAATCCTTAAAGAGCCGGACACAGACCCCACCCCACTCTCTATTCTGTTCTCTTTCCTCTGCTATCTACACGTGCATCTCCCCCAGGCCTGGGTCTTCTGCCGCCCCCCACCTCCTAATAAAGCTCTGATACTGGGTTTTGTCGTGGCTCATGACCTTGCTGCACCGTAACCGGCGCCGCTTTATCGTTTTTTTTAAAACCATCACTAGGCACACTGGCACGTGCCTACCATCCCAGCACTTAGGGATTGAGGCAGGAGAATTATCCAAAGTTTGAGGGTAGCCTGGACTACATAGTAAGTTTGAGGCAAGCCCGGCAACTTAGAAAAAAAAAAAAAAAAAAAAAGCATTGCAGGAAACAAATACACATTTCATGATTTTTTTTCTTTTTCTTTTTTCTTTTTTTGCTGAGTCCCTCTCCGTCTCTGGCCCAGGTTTTTCAAATACATATAAGGCCACCAGCTCTGAGGCTTCTGTGCCCTGCTTGTCTGGAGCAACCATAACCCTCAACATCAAGCCTGGACTCTGCTCCGTCCTGCCCCAGCAAGGAGTCCTACCTTTGTGAGCCAAAGTTCCATCCTCCAACAGACAGGAGGGTCTTCAGGTTGGGGTTTCTGTGGGGAGAGGAGGGGTGCAGTCAAGCCATGGTGACGCCGCAGACCCCGTATCTGCAGCCCATAGAAGAGTTCTTGCTTGCAGGGAGACAGGGTTAGGAGCCTGCCCCTGACATTGGTGCCAGCAGACACGGGCTCCATGGTGGTGACTCGGAGGTTCTCACAACGGGTAATGAGAGGTAAAAGGGGCTCACAAGTGGCACCATGCTCCACAGAGCTGCTGTGGGGATGAGAGACACTCCTTCCCTGAGCTCTCAGTGATGCTTCCTGGGCCCTTATCCCCATCCCAACACCTTACCCACCCAGGACATCTTCCCACAGGAGCCAAGGCCCCCTGGCAACCCTCCCCCAGGAGGATCCTTGGATCACTGCTCTCCTGCACCAAGATGTCCTGCTCGAGGACCAGCCCAGCTACCTGTCCCTCCTCTCCTCTCCCGGTCAGCTTGGGACCCCACCTGGTTTTAAGTGCGTTCAGCGTGCCATAGAGTGTCACATCATTCCACTCCCATGTGTCGATCTCATTGTTGCTGATGTTGGCAAAGCTGTAGATGATGTGGGTGCAGAGGAAGTGGTCGATGGCATCCGGGAAGCAGCTCCCGTCGCCTTCCCGATACTGGGACCAGTTGGTGTAGTAGCAGACCAGCTTGTATGAAGAGCCTGAAGGAGAAATCTGGGTTGGGACTGAGCACCAATGTGGTGTGGAGGTATGGACCGGGGGCGGGGGGGGGGGGGTACGGGGTATGGGGGACCAGAATGCTTGAGCAAAATGAAAAAAATCTTAAAGGAAAGGAGCTGGCCCAGCCTCCCCTGCCTGATGCAAGCTGAGAATGGTGTGACTCAGTCCAAGGACTGAGGACTTCCTGGAGGCAGTGGCTTCCAAAAAGGACAGAGGCCTGGCTGTGCCAGCCAGTGTCAAAAGACGCCCTGCCTGCAGGCCCGGCCCTACAGTGGGGTCTTTGATTAAAGAGTAGCTTTGTGGGTCTCTTCTCTGTCTCTAGGTGGGAGTGATCCTACCTGGTAACCTGTCCAGAATGGCAGTCCCCAAGCTGGGGCTCATTATTCACAGGGGCTAGGAAGTTCTTCCTTTGTTCTAATTTGAATTCCTCTTACTGTAAATGAAATCCCTTGTAGCCACTTGGCCATGGAAGGAAAACAGTGGGCCTCACTCAGGCCTGTGGATCCTGATAGCTGTTGCCTAGGGCAGTCTGTAGACGTCTTCACTGGATCTGGGCCCTTTAAAGTTGGTTGTTTAGAAAAAGTTCGAATAAATGGAAGAGTGGAGACTGAAACATACATATACATATTCCCATCACCTTGGCTTAACAAGTATTCCCAAAACCTGTGGGCCGTAGAAGAAACCCGAGGAGCATACTTTTGTGCTAAGACCTCCTTCAGGAGGGGCTGGGGGTGGGTACTCACAGCACTGGAGCAGCATCAGGACCGCAAAGCCTGTAGGGAAATCCAGGGTCAGACCTGGTGGCAGGGGAGGGGTGGCTGCTCTTCCTCCTGCCCCATCCCCAGGCAGGGGGAGGCCTTACCACCCGCTGCCCTCCTCCTTTTCTTCCTCCTGTCCCCCACCCCTCTCCTGCAGTAGGAGGCTGGCCCACTGTGCAGTAGCTCTTCGGGCAGTCTGAGCCCTAAAGCCTGAAAATCCACAGTCCCACCTGACCCATCCCAGAGACCTGTCAGCGCCACCCTCACACCCATCCTGGCTTCAGCAGAGCTGGGCATGGTGGCTTCTCCCGGTACCCAGCTTTCTAAACAGGGTCTCTTCCCCAGGCTTCACACTTCCTTCTTATACCCATCCCACTCCACTTCCCCACACCCCACAAACAAATCTCCTGACAGGAACTGAGCCGTGTGTAAACCCAATTGCTGGCCAGTGGAGGCGGACAGCCACTAGAGGAGGATTGGGAAACCCTGGAGTTTTGAAAGCCTTGGGCCAGGTCTTACAGGACCTGACAGCTGAAGGCTCATGAGGGTGATGATCCAGGGCCTCCCTGGGTGTGACAGTCACATGTCCAAAACCTTCCTGCCGTTTCTTCTCTCCCGACCACTTGCTTCTTGCCAGTACACTCCCAGCTTCCCTGGTAGTTCCTGTCTGTGGCTCCAGCCCTCCATCCAGGCCCTCGGCCAGGCTGAAGCAGGCACAATTGGGTTATGTAAGCCATGGTACCCAAACAAGGCCACCATTATATTGCCTGGCCTCCCCTCAGATTTTCTCTGGTTCCTGGCTGTGTGCATACTTGGCTGGAGTCTGAGTAAAGACCTGAGAGCCTTGGGAGCTGGGGAGGGCTCCTAAATCCCCCCTTTTAGCAATCGCTGGTTATTGAATCTGGGAAATTGGGACAGGAGAGAGAAATTCCTGAGAAGGCTCTGAGCCCTAAGGCTGCCTCCCCCTGTTTTGAACGCCAGTGCAGAAGATCGAGAAAGGCTCTGGGGTAAGCCAAAGGCTGTGGTGGAGAGACGCAGGGTAAACATGGGGGCAGTAATGGCCAGTGGTGGGTTCTCTCGGGAGCGGCGGCTGCAGGCTCTCAGAACAATATTGCCTCTCCTCTCGGTGATGCTTCTGAAACCCAAACTCAATGAGGCATCTTCACTCTGAATCCTACAGTGGCTTCCAGGGGCTTAACGAAAGAAGAGCTTAGGTGAAGCAAGGGCTCTGCCCTGCGTGGCCCTGGCTTCCGCCCTGCGTGGCCCTGGCTTTCTGCCCTGCGTGGCCCTGGCTTCCGCCCTCTGCACCTACAAAAGGCATTTCATTTTCCACTGTTGTCTTTCCAAGACAAGAGTCAAGATGTCGGGGCTAGAGAGATGGTTCAATGGTTAAGAGCACTGGCTGCTCTTCCAGAGGACCCAGGTTCAATTCCCAGCACCCACATGGCATGGCATAATTGCATGTAATGCCAGTTTCAAGTGGGTCTGAGACCTTCACACAGACATACATTCAGGAAAAACATGAATGCACATGAAATAAAAATTATTTTAAAAAAATCAGATGTCAAGATGTAGCTCAGGCTGGCCTCAAACTTAGAGCCCTCCTGCTTTAGTCCCCCGAGGGCTGGTGTACACTGCCATGTTCACCTAAACAACAACAGCCACAGCAAAAAAACAAAGAAAAAAACCCTCACAAAACTCAAAAGACCTGATGGCTGCAAACAAAACAAAACAAAACAAAAAACCCAGCCAGAGCAAAGCAAACAAAGATACTTCTCAAGGAAACTCCGTGAGCTCTGGTCTCTGTTTATGGACATTTGTTGTTGTTGTGGGGACAAAGATCCAGGATAATTCCGTCCTTAGCAGATCATATATAACATACAACTAGTAGATAGTGAGTGAAAAGTTCAGGACTCGGGGACCAGAATGGATTAGAGGGAGAGCTTCCCAATCGAGTCCTCTCATTTTGTTTTTGTTTTTTTTTTAATAGCTCCCCTAGGCAGTGATGACGTCACCACTCGGCTCTCTCAGATCCTCTGGCTCTGCCCGTAGAAACCCTTGGTAGGCAAGCAGTCCTTCCAGTGCTGGGCTTCAGCTGCCTCGGGGGCTCCTCTGCATTAGAGAAGCCGAGGTGGCAGCGATCGGGAAAAGCAGCAGGTGGAACCTTCTAGACTCCAGGACAGGGGCTCTGCAGGTGTTACAGCCCTTGTGCTGACCCAGGAAATATGGGTTCCTTAGCCTTTGGCAGCAGCAGCAGTGGCCAGCACCCCACCTTCCTGGCAGGTCTGGGCACCAAGGTTCCTCAGCTGTGGACAGCAGCTAGTGTTTCACTTACTGGTCTTGGGGAGCTGAGAGCCTTGACTCTAGAGACTTCGCAGCTCTTTGGAGCTCTTCCAGGGACCAGGGCTTGCAGCATCTTCTCGTCCTTTCTCTGGGTCTCGACTGCTCTCCATCTCCCAGCCCTCCACCTCCCCTATCTCCACCACCGCCCTTCGCTGCCCTGGCCACTCTCTCACGCTATTTAACCGTCTTTTCTCCGGCTGTCAGGCGGTCAGCCGCTTGCTGGTTTTCTTATCTCCTCTTCTTCTGGTGAGCAGCAAACTGCCTTCCCACCTCATGGGCTTGCCTGCTGCTGCTGCCGCTGCCGCCCCTGGGCTGCCCCGTTTCTGCCGCCCTGCTGTCTTGGCTGTGTTTTTTCTTGTACCACCAGCTCAGCCCAGTAGATAAGTAGATAAGAAAAGAACTCTCAAGGGAAGGCTTTCCCGGGCCTCAAGTTACAACAGTGAGAGGCAGTACAGCGGGATGCCCCCAGCCAACTCCTGAACATAAGCAGAGACCTCTGTTTGGACCAATCACAGCACACCTCACAGGCAATGGGAATTTGAGGAGTCACTAAAAACATTATTCCTTCAGCTAGGCCAGGGAGGGGAAGTGCTTGAAGAGGTGGAGAGGGTTGATGGGTCACCTAGAGTTTACCAAGGCAAAAAGGTCTGATACAAACTGTTTGAAACAGCCCTGGCTGACACTGGGCCTCCAGGAGGCCAAACAATCAACTGGGATCACTGTGCACGTTCATCAAGGCGCCCGTGAAGGATCCAGAATGGCTGATGCTAGCAAAAGGGTAGACTAGCTTTCTTATTTCTTTGTTTGTATACGATTTCACTGTGTGGCCCTGGCTGTCCTGGGACTTACTGTGTGGACCAGCCTGGCCTTGAACTTACAGAGACCCTCCTGCCTTTGCCTCAGGAGAGCTGGGATTAAAGTACTACCATACCCCTCCCGTCTGTCTGTCTTGAATATCTTTGCTTATTTACAGGAGAATTAGCATTAGGAGGAGTACTTACAATAAGAAATTAATCCCTAACACAAAGAGTGGTTTTAAGATTATTAAAGGTGCTTTAACAGTGCTTAACATTTGCCCAACACCCCAGGGAGAGGTAGGCCTCCCCCTATCTGCCTTAGATGTTATCCAGAATAGATTCCCAGCCTTCCCTTGAGGACCCTCTCAGTGCCCCCCACCCCCACCCCAAATCTTCTAGCTCTTTGCTGTAAATAACCACACAAGAAGGCCGGTCCTGAATTAGACTCTTGAGTGGCAAAGTTCACTACAGGTTTCTTTAAGGTGACAGGCTTCTTTTGAACCAAAGATGATTGACAGCAATGGTAGCCATTGAGGTGTGTCTCCTGTTTGTTTGAGGCACTGTGAGGAAGACTTCCTTCCATTTCTGATGAAGACAGTGCAGAGTAGTTCAACAGGGCGCAGGATATGAAGAAAATGCTGTCTGTTTTCATCTTTTCCTTTGTTAGAAGTTCTCTCATGGGTTTGTATTGCTGAAAGCCTTCTAGTCCTGTGAGCCCTTGAACTCAGTTTATTAATGCCATGTATTCCATTGTCACACTGCCCTCCCAAGGGGCTACCTCAGCAGCACTTACTTACTTGGGGTCCATGGCTTAACACCTCCTAGTTCATCTCACACCCCGTTCCACTCAGTAAACCCCTTCCAGCACCTTCTTTCAGAGCTTTGTGCTTAGCCTCTCTCCCACCACAGGGCCTTTGCATATGCCATATGGAATAGGCATGAAAGGCTGGAGATTTTATGACATGCTCAGGAGCTACAGTCCATGGACTCTATGTCAGAGATTGCTCTAGCATCCTTTTTATTGCTGTGACAAGCACTGCTACTAAAGCAATATGGCGGTGGGGGGGGGGGGGCGGGCGGTGTATTTCAGCCTCCGTCACTGAGGGAAGTCAGGACCGGAATTCCAGCAGGAACCTGAAACAAAATGGTAATGATGGAGGAATGTTGTTTGTTGACTCACTGGCCTGTGCTTGCTGGCTCTTTTACTGTAGACCAGAACCATCTTCCCAGAATTAGTGCTGCCCACAGAGGGCCAGGCGTGCCTAATCAATTAAGAGTTGGGATAATCCCCTACAGTCACACTCACAGGCCAGTCTGCTCTGGGAAATCCCTCGATGAGACTCTCTTCTCAGGTAGGCTGTGTCAAGTTGGCATTTAAGACTAATTAGGACAAGGCTAATGTGCTTTTTATCACCCAGGGACAGCAAGCAGCATGAACTTCATGTTTGAATGACTTCCACTGGGAACCCAAGCCTGATGCGGTGGCAGCCTGGGGGTGCTGGGGTGTAGGCATGGGTTGCATTACCACAGAAGAAACCCTCATTTAAGGAACTTAGATCTTTTAGAAGTAGCAGTAAGCGCTTGACCCTGGAGGGAGACATTATCCTTTTGAAATGCCCAGCAAATACGCTGTGCACTGTAGCAGCATCAGTGAAGGGAGCCGGAAACCACTAGCCATGCCTCTGTGGAAAATGTGTGCACAGTGCAAAGTGCACCAGAAATGCTGCCCAGTACTGCCCATCTTTGGCTAGTCTATCCTCCTTATCCTCCTCATTTCTGTGGGCTCCTTGTCTCCAGGAAAGGCAGAAGCTAGAGGAAGGGTGGAGCTCACTGGGCCTGACCGACTACTCTGTGTCACTCTCCCCAATCCCTGACCTGGTTATAACTGCAGTATGTGTCTGAGCTTTTATGATGTCCAAGTCCCGGGCTAGACTGTGAAGGATATGGCCGCTCATCCTCCTGTGTACCCACCTGAGTGCCGATGCCCAGTGGCTGCTTAGTGTAGCTTGTATGGAATGGCCAGAGAAGCAAATGTGTGATCCCCAAAGGACACACCACTCGAAAATCTATTTTAAGTTTGAAATCGAGTGTTCTCAAACTTTCATGCCGCTCATCAGTTCTGGACACCTGTGGATGGCTGGCTCAGGAGGTACCACAAAAACCCACAGTGTCCTGACTTTGTTTCCCCCATCAGATCTTTCTAGCCTCCATGCTCCAGTGGTCATTCATTGACTCATCCAATCAGTGCTTACTCAGAACATGCTGGATACCTGGCATTGTGGTTGGTGGTAGAGACTGGGAACAGTCAGTGTCTGTTCTTGTGA